AGAACTATTTCCCCTTTACAAAAGCCTTGTGGAGAGAGTACCCATTCACACAGCAGGACTTTATTATAGAAACCTGAGTGCCCGAGAATTCAACAGCATTAGTATCACACTCTGGATTTGAGCTCAGACTCACTAGTCTGGAGTCCAGAGCTCCTACCCACTACTCCACACTTCTGCCACATATAATTTCATAAAATACAGAAAAACAATTCCAGAGCAGTGATATTTCAGTGATTCGCGTGTTTCAAAACATAGCAGGTCCAGAAAAATAATCCCCCCTGTTACTGTTCCACAGCACTGATCGTACAACAGTAATAATGCATAACTGTTCAACATTACTGATCTTACAACAGAAATAACTGTTCAACATTACTGATCTTACTGATCTTACAACAGGTGACTGTTCTATAGTAATGAAAGGTAAAAAATAACTAGTTTGGATTATTGATTTTACAACAGTAAAATAAATAACTGTTCTGGGTTATTGCTCTTACAATGGCTCCGTAGTTGCAGAATTCGGAGCCAAGAATGTCCATGTTCGTCTCACGTGTTAGTGTTCCTGAGGCTTGCTCTCACACTGGCGTCAGTGTGCCCAGCAGTACACTCTATAGGGTCCCGCTCTACAGAAAGGATAGTACATTGTCCAAGTTAAACAGCAACACTTCCCGGCTAATTCAAACAGCTGTACAGCGGAAACTGCACTGTGAAGCAATGAGGTTGGGTGCACATAAAAAACAGCAACATGGGAAAGGACTGCACAGAGCACTGTTCTCCAGTGTGCACGAATACCACTGGATTTCATCAAGGGCACCAATGTCACTCGTGCTCACTAGAGGGCGCCATGTGTTAGTAGGATGTTACTAGGCTATGGAAGCCGGCAGTGAGTTCCCTATGGTCCTGTCTGAGTGTGGACCCAGTCTCCCTGCACCACAGTGCCCCGTCCTCCACACAGGACAACTGACTTTGAAAGTCCCTGGTGGACACTGGTGATTTAGCGCCCCCTGGTGTACACTGGCAGTCCATGGCAGCGTGTTCCCTATGTGAGCCCAGTCTCTGCTCCACAGTGCCCAGTCTTCACCACAGCACTGTAATGAATGGGCCGCCTGTATGTGCCTTATGCCTGCAGGAGAACAAATACAGCTGTTTTGGGAAGGCAGGGCTTCTTCTTTAATTAGGGGCGTATTTCTTGTTCTCCCCAGGGAAGGGGTACTCGGGGACGTTGTTGTAGTGTCCCATCAGGAAGATCCCAATGGTCCCAATGGAGAATAGCAGGATGGCCGCCCAGAAACACACCTTGTCGATCATTTTCCCGATCAGCACCCAGCTCTCCATCTCCTGAGAGAGACAGAGAGAGCAGGCAGAGTGAGTGCAGCATCAGCACACTGCCCCAGTGACAGTGCTGTATTCACGGGTCACAGTCGTGACCATGGCGTACAAGTGTGCCTATATAGTGTCAATGTGGTGCCAGTGAACCTGTGAAATACCAATGCCCCATCTTTCATACTAGTGTGACAGTGTGTCTTGTGAAATGCCCATGTCCTCTCTGTTATGGTACTAGTCCAATCTTGTGCACATGCAGTGTCAGTGTAGTGCTACAGTGCCAGCATGTCTGTGAAATGCCGATCTCCTGTGTGTCATACTAGTGTGGCACAGTTGTGCCCATGCAGTGCCAGTGCTCACCGAGCCAATGTCGTTCTGCTCACGGGTGCTCTGTGCAATGAAGTTGCAGGCGTCCACACACTCCTTGATCTCAGGGGCACAATGCGCCAGGCTTTTATAAAGGCTGGCTGTGGTGCCCAC